CATCCCGAAGTCATGTGATCACCATTTGCAACCTTCGCATCCGGTTTCCAACAAGCAAAATGGGGAACTGCATGATTCACTTAACAACCGTGGTGATTCACTTAATGACTGCTGCAAAAAATGTTGTAAAATCGGGTGCGGTCATGTGACGCCTCCTTTAACAACCACACCACTTAATGACAAATTTTATGGTCCCCATTGTGGTCGTAAGTTGAGGACTACCTGTACTAAGAATCAATTTGCATGACTGAAGTTTCTCAATCATACCATTTAACAATGTTACCTGGTACAGATATGGCTCATTTTTTATTTCTCTTTATTTTTCTAACCATCTGGCCTGGTCAGAGCTCTTGAAACTGGAATGCTTGCAAGCAGTTTGTAAAATGTTAGTTTACCTAATAAAGTTATTGTTGGTACAGATTAAAAAAGAAATGTATACAAGGCATGAATCTGGATTTAATTATATCTGATGGGATGTGGGATTAACAGCAAGCGTGCATAATTGATTTATGTCAGATTTCAGCTAACACTAATTCCATGATAAGGTCTACTGATGAAGAAACAAAAGCATTAGATGTCCCCCATTTTTGAAAATCTATTAAGAACATTTAAATTGTGGAATAAGTAAGCTTCCTTCCATCCCATATCTGTATTATATATATTGCCCCCTCCCCTGCTTTTTTTTTTAAAGGGGAAAAAAAATAAAAATTTAGGTCCAGTTGTAAAATCAGGCATAACATACAGTTAGTTAGTTAGTCTAACTAACATATCTATGCAACACACTGTATGAATATAGTGTCGCACATAAGAAATATGGGACTTCTTGTTCTTTTTCATGTATTAGACTAATACAACTACCTGTCTCAAAATGTTCCCATATAGGTAATGGTAAATCAGATAATATTCCACTTTTTAGAACAAAAAAAAAAGTAATTCTATCATTTAATATCGGACAGACACAAAAAAAATAGTGTCAAAGTTTTTGATCGACTAACTTACTATTACTTCTTTATCGTCCTTTAGATACCTCATTTTGTTCAACCGAGTTTGATGCCCCTTTTTCTTCTATAAACTGTACTGCCTACATTTTAAAACAGGGGACTCTTTTCTTTGCTTATTTGAACATTTCCAATTAAGCTTAAATGTGTAGCTCCCTCCAGAAGTTACTTCCATTATAAACTAAATGCAATGGCCATCATAGCTTTTCATTTTCCTCCCTAATGCAGTGTTTCTCAACCTTGGCCACTAAGATGTGTGGACTTCAACTCCCAGAATTCCCCAGCCAACCATGGCTAGCTGGGGAATTCTGGGAGTTGAAGTCCACACATCTTAAAGTGGCCAAGGTTGAGAAACACTGCTCTAATGTCACCAAATGCTCCTAGCTCAAGTGAAAGCCAGCAGCCTGACAAATGTAGCCACAGTTGATCTTTAGACTTTGACTCTACAAATAGAATGTGCTGCCACCTCCAAATTCTTCTACAGTTGGGTAATTTTGCAGCCGAAGGCCACTCTATTTTCAGTGTTTTTAATGAAGTTGGAGAAATTATACAAATTATATAAATGTTGTATTAGGATTCAACACGTTTATTTTATTCTCTGTGTATGTTTTACAAAATCAAGCAGAAATTTGCACTGTGGTAATTCAGAGGGTTTCAGCTGAAAACTGGCAGTGCAATCTTAGGTAAGGCTACGCAGAAAAAGGCTATGAGTGCCCATGGAGAATCATAGAAAGAACTGATCTTCCGTTTTGCCATGCTGGATGGGGATAATAGTAGCTGGAATTCAATCCTAGCTTAATGCAGAAATTCTTACATTTGGTGGCTAAGCATCATAAAGACATATAAAGTGCATTCAAAGAATCCAAAAATAAAGTCATTTGGGGGGCATAAATCAGCAGCAGGTTGCAATGAAGCCTCCTTAAATGCAGCTAACTCTTGCTTTCAAATAAATGTTTGTTGGGCAGCCTTAAAGTCCATTTGAGAGTTAAATTCCAATGGTCAATTCTAACCTAAGATCATCACACCAAAAGAAGCTATTTGGCCCACAATACTCATTCACAGGAGGTGACAACAGCCTGTTTTTTTGACTCTGAAACCTATTCAGAAATATTTGTTCCCATATCTTCCAACAGCCACACCCGGTTTCTGCCAGCGGTAGTTATGTTACTACAATGTTTCCCTTGGACATTACAGATGGATGAATAAGCTGCACACACACACTAAAAAGGATAACTTACAAGCAAGAAGACAATGTGAGAAGGTGTGGTATAGCTTTCTGAAATTCCATGATAAACTTATATCTCCTTCCTTCCTCCCTCCCTCCAACAGTGTTTCATACAATGTGGCTCTAATCACTTCTTTAAATAGCAAACTCAGGGCTTACCTGCTGGCAAAAATGAGATGAATGGGGACATTGACACACAGGAGAAAGGGTGTGTGTGCTCAGAGGAACTCCAAGGGTTGCAGAAATACAAAAACAGAAGTACAAAAAAATTACAAGACACTCAAGAGGGGCATTAATCTTGCCCGATGGCAGCCAAAGAGGACAAGGATGTTCAATGATCGTTGAGAATTATGGAATGTGGGGTGTAAAATGAAAAGTAGAATGGAAGATGGGGCAGGATAATGAACTGGCTTGCCTGAGCGCATGAACAACTTGTTATTCCAAAAAAAAAAAAAAGACATGGAGCCAGCTATTACCTGGAACGGAAACTTTCCTTTTGGAATAAGTTGGTGAGGATTACTGCAACATTTTCTTGCAAGTTCCACTTCTATATTCGTATTCGTATTGTTTGGTATGGTATGGTATGGTATGGTATGGTATGGTATGGTATGGTATGGTATGGTATGGTATGGTATGGTATGGTA